GTGTGTGTAGGTCTGTGTGTGTAGGTCTGTGTGTGTGTAGGTGTGTGTATATGTGCGTGTGTAGGTGCGTGTGTAGGTGTGTGTATGTGTGTGTAGGTGTGTGTAGGTGTGTGTATGTAGGTGTGTGTATGTAGGTGTGTGTGTGTGCGTGTAGGTGTGTGTGTGTGTGTGTGTGTGTGTAGGTGTGTGTGTGTGTGGTCCGGGGGTTCAGGTGTTAACGTCCGTTCGTGTGTCTAATTGCTGTCCTCCTGAGGAGGGGGAGGCATTGATTTGGGTGTTTGAGGGGTAAAAAGATGATGATGATGATGATGATGATGATGATGATGATGAGGAGGAGGAGGAGGAGGAGGAGGAGGAGGGTGTGTGGCGAGTATAGAGGAAAGCACAGCAGGAAGCAGAGAGGCATGTGAGCTGAAGAGGAGGAGGAAGGAGAGGAGGAATGAGTGACAGAGATGCTGTAAGGAGGAGAGAGCTCTGCCAGAATTACAATTTCAACCCTCCTCATTTTTCCTCATTTTCTTTCCTCCCTCTCCTTTCTCCTCCTCTCTCTCCCCCCCCCCCCCCCCCTCCTCCAGCTGCAGTGCAGAGATCTCCTCCGAGGCCCCCGTCAGGCTGTCAGGTGACCAGGACGGAGGCCGTGACGACATCACCGCCGCCCCCTCGGCCGACTGTCAGCCCTCCGCCGTTGCCATGGCAACGTCGGCAACGGCCTGCAGAGCCGAGGCTGACGACGACAACGAGACGCCTGCAGGAGGAGGAGGAGGAAGAGGAGGAAGAGAAGGAGGAAGAGAGGAAGCAGGAGAATGCGTAAGGACTTCTATTTCATTTTATTTCATTTTTTCATTTTTCTTTCACGTCTTTAACGTCTCGTCTGGTTTTTCCTTCGTTGCTTTCGCGGTAGAACCACAAAAGATCTGTGTGGTGTTCAAGGATGACTGCGACACACACACACACACACACACACACTCTGATGCAGAGGTATTTGTTGAGACAGGACCGATCGTCTGAAGGATGCCGTGAGAGGAGCCGGTAGCTCAGAAACAGAATGGAGTCACATCTCGCCCGCATGCTGCAGAGACTGTAGGTTTAGAGGAACAGATCTTTGCTTCTCGTCTTTTTTTTGTGTTTCGGAGTCTGCCTCTGCATTCTCTGCATTCCCTGCATTCTCTGCATTCTCTGCATTCTCTGCATTCTCTGCATTCCCAAAGCAACGCTGTTGTGCAATTTGATAATTGAGAGGAACATGAATTATTCTCCTTCATTTTTCACCTGATTCGCTGCAGGCTGTAAATCATGTTTCCTCTCTCTGGATGAGAAGCCGTTCAGTCTGGTTATCAGAGATCTGTTTGTTGAGGTCATCTGTCATGTAAAGCCGATAATCACCAGTGGATGTTGGGGGGGGGGGGGGGGGGGGTCGCGTGTGGTCGCATTGACCTCTGAACTTACCTTCCCTGATAGACCCTAGAGAGGGATTTTAAAGCCTCGTGAGGAGAGTTGTGTCCGTCCGTGTCGGGGAATTCCTCGCTTCACCTCCAAAAAAAAGCAGCCAGGAGACGATGAGTCTTCGAGGCCCCGTTGACGGCTTCTTCAAGTTCGAGGTTTTTCTGGGTGTGTGGTTGTGTTCAGACTCCGTTGGCAGGAGATTAAGTGTCTCAGTATGAAATCTGGATCCTCGTCAGCTGTACGAGGATCAGAGAGATAACAGAGATGTGTTATGTAACGGTGACATGAAAACTCCTCACCTCATCATCATCACTCACCTCCTCTGGGAGGTCTGCTCCTCTTCTTCTTCTTCTTCTGTCTGATCTTTTGACACACGTGTCCTCCGGTAGCACGCCGGTCTGGGCTGCCGGCGCTCCAGCTCGGACGCCGCCTACGAGCTGGCTGAGACGGTGAGGGCGCAGCGAGAGTGCCGTCTGCGGCCCCACTACAGCGACCCCATGCCGGCCGACGCCTCCAAGCGCAAACAGCTGGAGATGAAGATCGCAGCGGCCGCACGACTCCATGGACACCGGCGAGACCGGGACCGAGACCGAGACAGCGGTGAGTTCAGGGAACTCTGTGATGCATCACACTCTAATTTCACTTTCTGGAGACACTGACGATGAAACGGAAGCTACGAGGTTTTGTTATAAAACTAGAAAGGATCCAGTGAGCAGATCATCTCATGTCCCACAATGCATTTCTCATGTAGAAACAGGAAATGCTGAATGGTTAAAATACTTAAATTCTGTTCAGGAATAAGGACGAGCACCTCGTTCTCATGAAATGCATCAGATTTGTATTTTACTTTTAAACAAATGATGATGAAACTGAAGCTACAATGTTTTTATTATGAAAAGGATTCAGTGAGCAAATCATTCAAGGCCCACAATGCATTTCTCTTTTAGAAACAGGAAATGTTTTCAGGATTCAAATGTGCATCAAAACACAGAAAGTCTAAATTAAATTGAAGTTGAAACACTTAAATCTAATCAAAGTCTTTTTATCTGAAGCATCTTATTTTGGAATTGCAGAATGAACTTCAGAATTTTGAAGGTTATGTCAAGTAGGAACCGAAGACGAACGTGGAACCCGTTTATAAGACAACATGGTCGAGCCAAATGTTTTATTCACCAAATGTGGTGCAGATTGTTTTTCAGGAGTGAAAACTGTTGACTGTGAACCAGCTGTTCAGGTAGTTCTGTCCTGAAGCACGACATCCAGGATGAAACCAGAAGTACTTCACTAGAATCCTTTTTAAAGATTTTGGGGAACTCGTAAAAGACGGATGAACTAAAGACAAAAGGTCAAAACTGAAGCTACATTTATTTTCTGTGAGATCGTCCTCGTCTACCCAACAAACACCATCAAAGTCCACACCTCCAGTTTGCTTTCTGTTACAATCTCCATGTCAGTGCTGAGATAACCCTGATGACGTCATCAGACGTGACAGAAGGCATTATGTTTACAGGGTTGTCCGTCCGTCCGTCCCTTTCTCAACGTCTCAATAACAGCTGAGGGGCGCTCATTCAAAACGTCCACCTGGACTCAAAGAAGAAGGGATTATATGTTGGAGGTCTAATGTCACTGAACAGGATAGAGTGATGAAGTGATGACATTGAGGACAGAGCTGGATGTAAAGTGACACTGAAACATTAAAACCAGGAGTCAAGAGGTAATTCTAGTGTCCAGACTACAAAGCTCCTTCGAAAGCACAAAAGACTTTAAACAACCTGAACCGCATCTTCTCCACGACACAAACTCTGATGATGAAACTGGTGCAGTGTCGCTTTAAGTGTTTTTTTAAGATACAAAAACACGACTTCCTGGGCAGAGATAGTAGATGACGTCACATTGTGCATCTCCATGTGATTCAATGACTTCAGACGTTATGACTTCCTTCCTGTAACTACATCCCAGACGTCCAAGTCCTCATCACGTCTCCCTCAAACCTTCAGGAAAATCACCGTGAATTGTAAAATGAACCTCAGACTGAGAGTCACGTCTTTTTTAAATATATTACGTCTGTTTGTTTTGTCTGCTTGAATATTGTGACCTTTGCACCCAGTCGGCACCTCCTCCTCTAAACACTGATGATTCTGTGTTCAGTGTCAGTCAGAATATGCAAATGACGACCTTGTTGCACTTAAGATAAAAACACTCAGACTAGACTTAAAGGGAGTGTGTGAGCACTAATGAACCTGACCATCCTCCATCTCTCTCCAGCTCCAGCAGCCCTTCGTGGTCGCTCTGAGCCGCCCGGCGAGGAGCGCCAGGCGGGTCTGGGCGTGACGCGGTCCGGGCAGCACCGCTGGAGCACCATCAGCAGCCTGAGCGTGGACAGCGGCGTGGTGGGCCTCAGCGACGAGCGGGACGAGGAGGACAGCAAGCCTCGCCGTTACCGCCGGTGCCGGGGATCCGAGGTGGAGCGGGTGGACAGCGGCATCGGACCCGGTCTGTCCCGCACCTGGAAGAGACCGTCGGCCTCCCTCCGAGCCTGGGAGGCCCAGAGACCCTGTCCGGACTGCGGGCTCAGGGACGGCGCCTCCAAAGAGCGAGGGGAGCGCATGTGTGAACGTTGCTCCAAGCTGCGCACCGAGCGTAAGGAAGCCATCCTGGAGTTCCTGAACACGGAGTCGAGCTACGGCGAGGACCTGCGGATCATCAAGGACGAGTTCTACAGTCCGATGCAGAGCGCCGGGCTGCTGACGGCAGAGCACCTCGTCGTGGTCTTCAGCAACGTTCAGGAGCTCATTGACGTAAACGACCGCTTCACTGAACACCTGCAGGACAGCATCGACCAGGCCTTCGACCAGGTGAACACACGGGAAGACTATTGGGGCTTCAACGACGTGGTCCTGTTTTTAGTGGTCTTAAAGCTCTCGTTGGTAATGTTGAAAAAACAGCAAGAACGCTGGATTTTAAAAAATGATCCAACATAAAAACTCAGCAGAGTTCTCAACTTTTCTCCAATCAAAGTAGCTAGCAGCACTAGCTGAAATCAGCTAAATCTAGAAAGGGAGACGGGTAGTAGGTGAACAGGTAGGTAGACAGGTATGTAGACAGGTAGGTGGACAGGAAGGTAGGTGAACAGGTAGGTAGGTGGACAGGAAGGTAGGTGAACAGGTAGGTAGGTAGACAGGAAGGTAGGTGGACAGGTAGGTAGGTGAACAGGAAGGTAGGTGGACAGGTTGGTAGGTGGACAGGTAGGTAGGTGAACAGGAAGGTAGGTGGACAGGTTGGTAGGTGGACAGGTTGGTAGGTGGACAGGAAGGTAGGTAGACAGGAAGGTAGGTGGACAGACAGGTAGATTGGTAGACATAACTTGCTGGAATTCATATTCTTATATTGAAGATTTCACACAAATATCTAATCGGATAACATGATGAAGTGATGACATTTTGGACAGATGGATGTAAACTGACACCTGACTGGTTGGTGGAGGCAGTAATTCTAGTTTGAGTCAGAAAGAAGATCCCGAAACCGTCTCTTTGCTGGTCTGGTAGCCGATGTCATTGGGATTGGTGAAGTATAATTTAACTTCTGAGATCTAGTGAGGACTCTGCTGCAGCTACCATCATTTCTCCATTTCCATCCAGAAACCGACAATAATCTCCTCACTGTTACCTGAAAGCTTTAAGATACAATAATGGACAAAGACCAATTGTTTCCCAGTGTGAGACATATTTAACATTGACCATTTTCTCTCGTGTGGTTTGACCTCAGGGAGATGAAGATCTGCTCACGGTGTACATCGGAGAGATCTTTCTGGAGTTCGTGAACATGCTGCCGGCCTTCCAGACCTACTGCCTGCAGCAGTCCACCTCGGTCAACATGCTCAACACGCTGGAGAAGGAGAAAGAGCTGCTCAGGTAGATTCCTCTTGCTGTTAGTGTGTGTGGTGTAAAGTTCATGCCACGGCTGGTTTCTCTATTTCTTAATTGAAGAGACAGCCAATATCACTTATTCAGAAGAAGGTCTATTTTGAGAGAAGAGCTGCTATGATTAATATTTTTAGACAGATGGTCATGAGTCGGTCCGTCCTGTGATTCCCGGGCATTGACCTCCGGTTCTGCCAAATGAAGCCGATGCTTCATGTGTTGAAGCTGCATTCTCTCTCCTGGCCATCAGGGGGCGACTCCTCTGGTTGTATAGAAGTCTATGAGAAAATGGCAAACTCAAGGTTTCAAAACGCAAACCAATGTCGTGACGCCACGATGACTACGTCTTATATACAATCTGGTTATTCACAGTAATCAGCTTTTTAAAGTATCCACTTTCAACTTAATTATTTCTCTGGTTCTGTCTTCTCAGAATCTTCCTGGACGTTTCCCAGAATGACAACACGGCACTGCGGCGCATGAACTTGCGCTCCTTCCTCATGGCGCCCCTCCAGCGGGTCACCAAATACCCGCTCCTGCTGAGCCGCATCATCAAGGTCACTCCAGAGTGCCACCCGGACTACGCGCGTCTCCGCGAGGCCAAGAGTCGGGTGGAATCCCATCTGGAGCACATCAACATGAAGACCAAGCAGGAGGGCAACGGCGTCACCTGGTCCCTGCGCTCGTTCCGCCGCGACAGCCGCAAAAACCGGGAGGTCATCAACATCGAGATGCGAGAGGTGTCGATGAAGACGGTGGGCTGGGCGAGAGAAAACACGCGGTTCGTCATGGAGGGACCCCTCCAGTTGTCCCAGCCAGCGGACGGTCAGTGGGTGAAGAAGGGCAGCAAGGCCCTCAAGTTCCAGAACGTCCAGAGTCTGCTGATGGTGAGGATACAGCGGGCCGGCGAAGCCCCGGGACAGGGCACCGACGTGGGGGCTCAGGGAGAAGGTGGCGGGGACAGCATTCGAGACGGAGTTCTGGTTCTGATCAAGGACAAAAGCAGCGGGAAGTTCACTGTGCTCAGAGAGCCCATCCGCCTGGGAAATTGTGTGGTGTCCACAGATCCGGACTGCGAGGACACGTTTGAGGTGCTCGACATCCGGCGGGAGTCTTTCGTTTTACGCGCCTCGGACAAATCCCGCACGCAGCAGTGGTTCCATCAGATTAAGAGATACACTCGAGACTTGGGCACCTGGAGGAAAAGACGCAATGCTTTGCCCAACATCATGATCAACACAAACCAGACCCGCTCCTGAGACTAACCACTGTCACACTGTAAATAACCTGCAAAACTAAGCTGACAACGAGAAGCATTTCTGAGTGACGCTGCTGTTAAAACCATAGAAGTAGAGTGGAAGTAGAACGGACAATCACATTCAAATCAACGCAGCGGACATTTTTTATGTGTACCGTTGCAGCGGGCTACATTAGTAAAAACTAAACAGACTTACGGCAAGTCGCAGACTCACTAGGTGAGGTTTAGTAGTAATGACTAAAACGGGTAACGTTATGAAGCGTAGAGAGCAAAAGTTAACTTTATGCTTCATCCACACACTCTGGAAGCGAAGTAAAGCTAATTTCTGTAACCAGTGTAGCATTAAAGCATGGTGGAAATAGCAAGCTAGCTAACTTAACTAGCCAGCCGCTGAATTAGTAAAAAGTTTAAGAACTAAATGCCTCATCCATGCACTCTTGTCACAGCGTAGGAAAGATCATTGCTATTACCAGATTAGCGATAACCAGTGTAGCATGATAGCATTGCTTTTCCACCATGCTTTAATTCTGTACTGGTTTTCAGAAAATAAGCCATACGGCGGGCTGGTGGCAAGCAGCTGTGCTGGGTCTAACCGTCCTGCTGCTACGGAAAAAGACAAGCCAGCTAGTTAACTAGCGTACAGCTGGCTAGTAAGCGAGCTAGCTTGCTAATTCCACCATGCTTTAATGCTGCACTGGTTACAGAAAATGATCTGAGCGGTATTAGGGTCTAACATTTCCTCCGCCTCACTCCCAAACACCCCGGAGATGGACAAGCTAATGTTACTTAGCTAACTAATCAGCCGTCCGTCTACGGCCCCACTGACGTGGGTTGTCACCATGACAATCGCCATTTTCTTTTGAACCACGAAAAAAGACTTTAATGTCCGTTCTGCTCCTATTCTATTTCTATGATTTAAAATATTTCTCTCGTGAGACAAAGATACAGCACTTTTTTTTCTTACAAAGCTATAAGTGCGCCATACTGTCATGAAGTTACGTACGAAGACCGAAGTCGTTAGAAGAAAATATTAAAGATTCCTGGACAACCAAAAAAAAAACTTGGGCCGAGCTCGTCGGCCTTGATTGTAAAAGACTCGTTTGGAGACGACGAGCTGTGTCTTCAGTATAGACGGTGTGTCTGTTGAAGAGCATTACTGAAACATGGCTGACTGCAAAAGAAAAAGAAAAATTGTATTGTAATTAATTTCTTTTTATACGAGACTGAGGGGTTTGGTCGGTCCAGATGCTTGTTCAGTGGTTTCTGTTTGTTGTCACTGCCCTCTGCTGGACGTTGGCGGTGCAGCAACCTTCACTGCCACAGATGCAGTCGAGCCGACTTCCTGTTATCACTGTGTTTAAAATAAGAAACCCACATGACAGCAATAATCTCTGCCAGCTCCAACAGACGTAGCTACCGTACACGCATTTCATTTCCCAGAGTTCCATGCGGAAGATTCAATCAAAGCTTCCTGACAACGAAGGAATCGGGAGTTCAGATAATCGTATCGTGCCGTGAAAGCAAGTTTGCAGTCCACCTCCTTTAACTGTAGCCATCACGGCACACAGGTGAAAGTCCAACACGACAGTTTCCTCCTCAGTGTGTCTTGAGTGCGGAGTTTTTCAACCTCTGGTTCGGGAGCTCATGTGGGGTCGCACAGAGCGGACCATGGGACAGAACTAATGATAAGTTTGATTGATTTTACAAGGCTGCAACATACTGTTTTGGATTTATCTGATTAATGTTTGATCTGCAAAATGTCTCCAATCCCGAGACCTTAAGAAAAGTTTTCTAATGTTTGGTTTTGTTAGACTGAAAGTCCAAAATCCAGTTATTTAATTTACTACTATATAAAAAGCAACATTTGAGAAACAGGAAGCAAGACATTTATGATGTAAACAATTATCTAAATTGTTGTTTCAATCAACAAACCTGTTTAAAATAAAGAATTAAGTAAATTAAGACTTTCTATAGAATCCGTCTTCACGTGACTCCGAACCTGTAAAACATGAAATCTCTCCGTCTGCTAGTTTAAGGTTGAGTTACTGTCAGTTACTTGAGCTCTAAACAAAGCGTCGGTCTGAACTGTGTCATGTGACGCAGCGACGAGCTGCTGTGCCTTGGTACTCGATTACTGTTACGCTAATTCATCACTGCAGCCCGTCACCGTAGCATCAAACAGACCGGACTCGCATCAGTCCACAGGCAATATAATCACATGTTCTAGCTCTTACTGTAGTGTGCTGTTATTATTTATGAAGGCGTTATTTTATTTGAATGCACTTTATGATTCTCCTGTGGAGCTGCTGGTTGAACTTGATTCTTCCTCCTAGAATGATCTAAATGTCCGCCGGTCATCAAACCAAAACCAGTTTTCAGTTTGAGAAGAAGCAGCAGATCACCGACTCCACACCGACAAACTCACGGTTTCTTTGTTCTCATTTGCATTGTGGAAGACCTGCTGTATTATCTCTCCCCTGATGTAATATATTGTGAATTATATTAAAAAGATTTTAAACACGACCTTGTTTGTAGTGCAATTCACTCATTTGTTTTATAAAGTTGTGACGCAGCAGGAAATGTATTTACAGTCATTTTACAGACAATACAGAAGAAGAGAAACGAGAGCAACAGATGGAGAGAGAGAGAGACGACCATGTGCCACGACAGCAGAGAGAGAACATGCAGCACATTCAGACGAGTCCGTGTTCGCTTATTGTTTAACAAAGATTATTAAAATGTCTCGTTGCTGTTCTGACTGATCTCACTGATGCGTCTTCGTCATTTCTTTGGCTCTTCTGCTCCTGGAGCCTCATTTATTAAAAGGTATTATGTGAATGCAGGTTTGGAGCGAATCGTTATCTTTATATCAAAGTCAGAAATCATCGGAATCTGGTTAGAATGCTGGAAAAGGTATTTATTGGATTGTTGGTGGAATATTTCCTTCATAATGAGGCTCCTGAGTTTCTCTTTGAGTCCAAAGAAAACCCAGCCGACGTCGACTCAGCCGGAGAACAAACATGTTTTCTTTCTTTTTTTGGGCAAATAAACAAAAGGAATCTGTGAAAACACAGAGTTATGATTTAACATCAATATCATGAGATCCAATAAGAACCAGCTCAGTAAACAAAAACACATGAAGCTTATAAAAAACAAACAGCAACAAACTGAACCGTGGATCTTGAACAGACCGTCATTCATTCATTCATTCACTCGGCTGCCGGAGCCGCGGGTTCGATCCCCGGCTCCGCGCTACTTCTCCCCGCCGGCCTCGGCCTCCTTGGCAAGCCCGCGGATGGACAGGTCATACACCACCTCCTCGATCTTCTTCACGTCGTACTTGAGGCCGTCGTACCGCTTCCTCAGCGGGTCGTTCTTCAGGTTGAGCAGCCGGAAGCCCGAGTCCAGCTCGTTGATGAAGTTGGAGATGCGGAGCGGCCGGGTGTAGTCGCCCGCCGTCACGCTGTTCACCGCCAACCGCGACTGGACGAAGAAACGCGAGTTCGTTTAAAAGCAACACAAAATCACCGCTGAGCTTCAGAATTAGTAAACAGACGACTCGTTTAAGATACGATACAATAAGATATACGATAAGATATAAGATACGATAAGATACGGTGCGATACGATAAGATACGATATACGATGAGATTTGGTAAGATGCGATAAGATGCGATGCGATGTAAGATGCGATACACGATACGATAAGATATACGATAAGATATAAGATACGATAAGATACGATAAGATACGGTGCGATACGATAAGATACGATATACGATGCGATAAGATGCGATGTAAGATGCGATACACGATACGATAAGATATACGATACGATACGATATACGATAAGATATACGATACGATATACGATACACGATACGATATACGATACGATACACGATAAGAGATACGATACACGATAAGAGATACGATACACGATAAGAGATACGATACACGATAAGAGATAAGATACGATAAGAGATACGATACACGATAAGATACGATACACGATAAGATACGATACACGATAAGATACGATACACGATAAGATACGATAAGATACGATATACGATATAAGATGCGGTAAGATATACGATACACGATAAGATACACGATAAGATATACGATATACGATAAGATATACGATAAGATACGATAAGATACGATATACGATAAGATACGATATACGATAAGATATAAGATGCGATAAGATGCGATGCAATAAGATGCGATGCGATAAGATGCGATGCGATAAGATACACGATGCGATAAGATACACGATACGATGTAAGATACGATACGATGTAAGATACGATACGATGTAAGATACGATACGATGTAAGATACGATAAGATGTAAGATACGATACGATGTAAGATACGATAAGATGTAAGATACAATAAGATGTAAGATTGATATGAAATGATTTCTTCAAGAAGGTTCAATGATTCAAAGAGAGGATAGAGCTGAATGACATCACACAGAGACATCTCTGTGTGATGTCATCTCTGTTATTAAGCCAGCCCTCATTGATATAAACAGGTGGATAAAATAATAGACAGAAATCAAGGACTAACTCACCAGCTCACTGGCCATGATGAGCACACCTGCCAGGTAGTCCTCCACGTCCAGGTGGAAGCCTTTCTCTCGCACCACCTCGACTGAAGAAGAGGAGGAACAAGAAGAAGAGTGAAGCCTCGTTCCTCAGGAACAGTCACACTGAACTAGTGTTACAGGTACACTATAATTCCTTCAGGCTCTGCTCAGTGAACATGAGTACTGGCTGAAGGTACATTATGACATCATCATGATGTGTTCACATGTCATCTGTAAAATGTAGTTTTGGTGATTTTTCTTTTTACTTACTGCCGAGTATTTTGGCGACTTCCTCCCGGACCACGAGGGTTTCTGTCTCCAGATAAACCACGAAGGCGGAGAGGAAGGCCAGGCGCTGCAGGACGAAGCGCCAATGTTCATGGAACCTTAAGAGGACGTGAAGAACACAAACGTATAACGTGTGCTGTAGGCTTTCTCTGCACTTCATCATTTCATCCCATAGTTGTTTTATCTATTGTATGATTTGTCTTTGTCAAAGATATACGCGTGTTTGCTGAGACAACATTCCACAAAATCTTTGCTGTGCAGTTTGACCACATGTGTGTGTTGTTTTAAATAAAAGATGAAGACATGAAGACAGATGAAGACATTGTTAAACATATTTAGAACCGTCTGCTGATCATGTGACTGTTTTCAAAAAGGTTCCCTTCAGAGTGAATCACGTCTCACATGAACACATCTTTGATTAAAGGAGTCGTGTTAAACTGCTGGTGACTGAAGAGCAGATGGTAGAGATACAGATACACATACATATATGTATATATATGTATGTGTGTATGTTCATGTAACTGTGTGCCGAGTTAAAGAGAGTATTTGTTCATTTGTAAACGGTAGAAAACATTTGCTAGAGGAAGTAAACATGGTCAGCTCAGGAAGGAAGTAAAGTGTTAAATCAACGTTTTCTTGAATGAAGCGTTAAACGTCTCAGTGGAAGCAGGTGTGACTGTGTGAACTGTGTTTATGTTTATGTCATTATTACCTGTAGTACTGCTCCACAGGGAACTTTGTTTTCAGGTCGCCGAGCTGCGAGCGGACCGTGCAGAACAACTCCCGAGCTTTGGCACATTTACTGGGAACTACACGAGAGAAGAAGAAGAATGCTTTAGAAGATGGACGATGACTCTGAGACGACGTCGTTAAGATAAAGCGCTTCATCGCTCACTCTCTTTGAACCCTGACGGCTGGTGGACACTTTGGAGGACGGTCAGGATCTCTCTGGCCGTCTGCTCCAACGTCTGGACCACTTTACGGATATCCTGCAACAGAGAGCGTGAAGATGAAGTGTGTTTAAATATTAATATTAATAACTTGTCGGTTTAACATAATGAACTTATAATCTAAAGACGTGTCACACGTTTAAAGGATCACAACACATTTCTCTATAAAGTCTTTGTATTATATTTATATTTATCCTGTTTGGCAATGAAACTGATGCTGGAATCCAAATCAAGTCAACGTAATTATTTTGACTTTTTATCGTCATTTAGATTCATATTTTGTATTTTGATGGAATAAAAATTGAGTCAAACTCTATTTAGAGTGAAGCTCAAAGAACACACGTGAACGTTAAGAGCACGTGACTAAAGAGCGACACGTCGTCAGATAACGAAGTCTTAATTCAACATGTTGTTAAATGAAGTCTGGCGTCACATCTCAGCGACACATGGCCGCTTAAACGCGCGTTAATAATAGTAGAACAGACAGCAGAGCGTCACGTAATTCATACTTTAAGGAAACGTAACAGAATGAAGTGACGTTGTGCAGCTCGTTGTCGTACTAAACCATTTAGAGCGCAGCTGGCTGTGTGCAGCCAGCTGCGCTCATCGTATCGCTGCTTCTGTGGTGGCTAAACAGTTAGCCGCTAAGCTAACGGCATCTGGAGAGCTAACGCTGTTAGCAGCCTCGCGGCTCATTCGTACCTCTCGGACGTCCTGGTCGGCGCTCAGGAAGCCCTGAATGTAGCTGAACATCTCGGTCACAGACATGATGAGGATCCGTGCAGCAGCTAGCTAAGCTAATTTAGAAAAAGAACGTGCACGAGAACCGCTCCGCGCTGCTTCGTGTGGCGCGTAGAGATGAGGTCATCACGCGTCATGCGGCTGTCGCCAATGTTTTTGGTGCTAAAGAAAAAAATATATTTATGTATTTATTTCATGTATTAAAGCAGGAAAGGTATCATAAATTATATCAAAATAATAATAATACACTTTACATTTGTCTGGAAAAATGTGGTAACAAATACAAGAGAAACATTTTTATAATAACTTTTGAAAATTATAATAGCATTTTATTCACAAATGTAAATGTTACAATAAATAACATGTTTTTCTGAAAGATGTTGAGAGCAACATGTGAACTATTCAGTCTATAATCTCTATAATGCAACATTAATATAATTCATTCATTATCTTTTTTTTACATCACTAAATTGAACGCTTGCACCAAACGTATCAAAGAGACACGTTATGATTTTATAAGACTGCTAATAGTATTTACACAACACATTAAATATGTATCTGTTGTGCAAAGTCTAATTCATATGGAGGTCCATTTCCACCAGCAAAAAAAACAAAATTCTAATAATTCTTTTTTATGCTACTGGAAAACAAGTTAAAGAAAAAAACAGATTTTTACTTTTTTTCCACCGGCATAAAAAAATGAATAAAAAAATGCACCAACACTTTTGGTGCATCCATCTGTAACCATAACACTGACCAGATGTTTCCAGTTGCTATAGAAAGTCTAAACGATGAGTCATAGAAGCAGCTGTTCATAGGTTACCCTACATGTGACATATACATGGATTGTGAGTACATTGAAGACTTCTTTAAACGTGGCTTTACAACACATGAAATACTTCAATAGCTTGATGTTTCACATGGATTGTACTGAGCAAACGCACCCTTGAATAGAATTTTAAGCAAGAAGCAGCTCTGGAGTATAAAGAATAAAACCAATGTGGCTGAGGTGACGACCTTCAATAAACAGCAACTGGAACCTTTTTTTTTTCTTCTTCTTTTCTTTCTGCCAGAAAAAAATAATTTAAATCTTTTTTATTTTTCTGGCTGTGGAAATGTGCTTCCATAGATTGAAGTACTAATACAATGAATGAGAAACTATTCTTCTTCCAGCAGGTTTGTAGTTCATTTCTTGAACAGATTATTTTAGTTAGTTCGATGACTATTCTTTTTATCATTTTTACTTTCAATTTATTGAACACACATTATATCTGTAAAGAATAAATACATAAAATAACTCATTTTAACATTATCAAAAAAAAGGCATAATGTTAAATATATAAATAAATAAACATCTGAATCACGAGCTATAGATACAAGAACAAACAGCAGCAAAGACTTTCAGACAAAAGGAGAAAAAAACGTTTAAAAAGTACATTTATTACGTCATGATGAACATAATTATAATAAATTATAAACTAAAGAAATGAGGGTTTGTTATTTCTAGACTTGTTACAATAAACATGATGTTTACCAATAAGAATGATGTCATTTCAGAAATAGTTTAAATTTATATGAATAATAAAATGTTCTGATGACAGTCTGGCTTTAATTCTGGTGAAATAACGGACATGCTGCATTACGTCATTCACCCTGTTGATGGAGCCAAAGCAGCGCGTTGCTGATGTTGCCTTCAGGTAGGGCTCGGAAAAAAAAGACATTCATCATAAAACAGTTACTTTTTCCAGCTCCATCCGTGGACACTTCATGATGCTGTTTAACATTATCACAGTGAAGTCACAATAGTGGGAGGAAATAATAAATGTATATTAATATAAAACTTGGGGCTGCACGGTGGTGTAGTGGCTAGCACTGTCACCTCACAGCAAGAGGGACCTGGGTTCGATCCCCGATCCCAGGTGGTCCTTCTGTGTGGAGTTTGCATGTTCTCCCTGTTGCAGCGTGGGTTCCCTCCGGGTTCTCCAGCTTCCTCCCACAGTCCAAAGACATGCAGCTTAGGTTATTTGGAGACTCGAAATTGCCGTAGGTGTGAGTGTGAATGTTTGTCTGTCTCTATATGTGCCCTGCGATGAACTGGCGACCTGTCCAGGGTGTACCCTGCCTTTGCCCAATGTCAGCTGGGATTGGCTCCAGCGCCCCGCGACCCTGAACAGGATAAGCGGTTTGGATATAAAACTATCTCATATTTTAAATAATTTTAAAAAGTCAAAACTCGTAATATCTTTGTGCAAAGCAACGTCATACTGAACCCTTAAAGCTAAAAAAAATACCACGACTTTAAAGGCTCCGTACAAACAAGTTAATAACTATTCAAACAAGTTAATAGCTATTCAAACAAGATAATAACTATTCAAACAAGATAATAACTATTCAAAAAAGATAATAACTATTCAAACAAGATAATAACTATTCAAACAAGATAATAACTATTCAAAAAAGTTAATAACTTCAAACAAGATAATAACTATTCAAACAAGATAATAGCTATTCAAACAAGATAATAACTATTCAAACAAGATAATAACTATTCAAACGACTTAATAACTATTCAAACAAGATAATAACTATTCAAACAAGTTAATAACTATTCAAACAAGATAATAACTATTCAAACAAGATAATAACTATTCAAAAAAGTTAATAACTTCAAACAAGATAATAACTATTAAAACAAGTTAATAACTATTCAAACAAGATAATAACTATTCAAACAAGATAATAACTATTCAAACAAGATAATAACTCATGTAAACAAGATAATAACGCATGTAAACAAGATAATAACGCGTGTAAACAAGATAATAACTATTAAAAGAGACAATAACTTGTGTAAACAAGATAATAACTATTAAAAGAGACAATAACTTGTGTAAACAAGATAATAACTTGTGTAAACAAGATAATAACGCGTGTAAACAAGATAATAACTCGTGTAAACAAGATAATAACTATTAAAAGAGACAATAACTTGTACAAACAAGATTTAAAAAAAGTTTGACTAATGAGTTTACTGACTTCCTTTGAGTATCTTTTCTATTTTAAAATCAACCTCTTACCTTCTGATCCACCACTCTCGCTCACGTGCGGTCCACTTACAGTGAGTCCTCAGATTTCCGACGGCTCCAGAAGGCATCACCACAGAGCGCAGCTGACGCAGAAACACAGTCTCTTCAGCCGCCTGTTGCTCGTGTTAGTCCCGCAGACAGATCACCAGAAGTCGGGTGTTAGAGAGCGGCTCCTTCACTCTCTGCTCGTCCGTGTCCGTCTCTTCTCAGAACCGAACCGTATTCTTTAAAGCTCCGGTTCTATTGGGTTCCTCGGGACTTTGAACAATGTGTGTGACCGCTGCTCGGATCCTGTGAGATGGAGAAAAGCTCAGAGGATGAATGCGTGGATTCAGGAGCCGAGACTGCGGGGTGAGTGGAGTCATATTTTACATTATTATGCTTTTAAATAAAAGAATAATGCAATTTAAATCAGTTTTGAAGAGTTCATTTAACTTAAAAAAAAGAAGTAAAACAAGTCACAAATTCTCATTCCCAGTATTTTGATGCTTCTTGTATGAAAAGATGTCTGGGGGCGTGTCTTTAGGGAGTGACTTCATGTAACAACGTGACCAATTAAAACGAGTAAACGTTTAAAGTGAGGAGTGACGTCACATTAAGAATAAATCAAATCAAAATCATTTTAAATGGGGTTTGGTGGGAGCCAGCTTGTATATTTAGGGGAAAGTGACACGTTATTGGAGGTCCTACATTATTGTTATTATGAGTCTATGTTTTTTATTATTGTTATTATTGATGCTGAAGGTGATGGAGGAATAAATAAACGTGTTGTTCCTTCTGTTTTCAGCCATTAGACAAAGATGTGCCTCACTTTCTTCTGTGGTATGTCTCTGCTGGATGTGTGTGTGTGTGCGTGTGTGTGTGTGTGTGTGTGTTTAGAGGCAGATACGTGACCTTTAACCCCTCTAAACTCACTAACTTTCAATAGTTAGTGAGTTGTAGGATGAAGCTTTTATCTCGTAGAAAGTCTCTTCAGATGTTATTTAGTTTCCTCCAGATGATAGTTTCCAGTAAAGCTTTCCAGTTTGTGTCTCTTATCGTTTCCTTAAATGTTCATAAACCTCTTTAAAAGGTCTTTATGGATTAAAGAAAAGTCTAAATGACTAAATTGAGAGTCTGCAGGCCTCTGCCTCTGTTCTTACCTAGAGACACAGA